TTAATGAACCTGGCCAGGTTTAGCAGGCTCGGGACTCCAGCTCCCATCAGCCCCCTCGCTAGGCTGTAATTAATGAACCTGGCCAGGTTTAGCAGATTGGAGCTGTCAGCACACACACCGAATCCGGCCCCAGACCGCTTCTCATCTAAGAAGCAGTCAGAGAGCCGTGTCACATTTCGATGGCCGGGCGCCATTGGTCAGGCGCCACTCAATCAAGCGCCATCTTTGCGGATCTTTTGCCATCTGTCAGAGAGTTAAGGGTAGGGGGTTGGGCCCCCTTTGACTGTCGTTTGACATGGGAGACCGGGAGGCTCACGTAGCCTCCCATATGCTGAATAATTACAACAGATAGTCAGAAGACATGTAAATGAGCTATTCTCCAGAATTTACCATTAGCACTGCATGGGTTTTAAGGCTCTAAACATAATTCAACCTTCTCTATAATCAATGTCCTTATAAACAGTCCAACTACGCTTATTCCCAAGCAGTCAATTTAACTCTTTTTTTACGGCGAGCTGTTTGTTATATTGCACCACAGAAAGTACAATCACAATATTCCATTTACATAACTTCATTTTACATACATTAGAAAATTTATTTATAATTGAATTCAGTTCCATGCAATATGGGATATCGATATAAATGTGAAATCCCAGGCCAGTATTCATTTATTTTTTTTAATGACAGAGTTAAATAAAGGCTTCGCAAATATTTTTAATCAAACAATATTAAGTTATGCGCCCGATTAAATATATTGCTTTGTAAATAAAACACAAGCCCATCTTGCTTATAATGCAGAGACAATGAAACGCATAAACTTGTCACGGTTCGTCCGGCTCATAAACCACGTTTGCAAGAAGGTTTCACTCGCTCGTGGTAGATGAAACCTTCCCTCTCCACCCCGGGCCCAAACAGCATCACGTCTGCGCATGCTGGCCTGCCGTGTTCACACACTGATGAAGCCAACCTCAGCCAAGGCCATCCAAGTGCATTCAGTTGGGCCGGGAGGGGGCAAGTCCCAAGAAGTGCTCCTGACAGCTGTCAGAGTCCGGCAGAGCCAAGGCCCCAGGGGGAGGGCAGACGAACAAGACAGTGCACAGGAGTCACCTTGAAGCCAAACGGCATGACGAATGTGTGGTGAAAGGTGTCAGCCTAATTATAATTAATTCCGCCACCATTCCTCCAGCGGAGACTGTCCGGGACACGCAGTGCATCGTGGGAGACTGCCACCGGGGAATTCTGCCCCCATCTGGAGATCGTCAGGGCTGTGGTGACGTCGGGCGACCGTGTCACGTGACCGAGGCAGGCGGGGCTTGCTCCCGTGCTGCACAGGCCATGTGACCACCTGCTACTGCTCTG